TGGGTGACACATGCACGGTGGCAACATGATAGTGCAGGTAGAATAATCACGCACATACCCGTTGTATGTGATGCAGTCTTCGTTGTTCTGCTCCATCGAGCATGCAAGCAAGAGGGCGGGAATGAAGGATGAAGGTTCAGCAGTGTCAAACAAAGACAATCCACAGCATTGATGAGGAAGAGAGAGAGTGTGTGAGGGGGGGGGGAGAGAGAGAGAGAGAGAGAGTGTGTGTGTGTGTGTGGGTGTGAGTGTAGCATGGGCCGGACTAGTGCGTGTGTGTGTTTGTGTGAGTGAGTGGAAGTGAGTATGCGTGCATGCGTGCAGGGGTACGTGTGTGTGCGCGCGCTCACGAGCCACTTTACCTGAAAGTTGTCCGGCTACGATGTGGTCAGGGTGGAAGACAGAAGAGAATGTGAAAGTGAGAAGTCGTTCGCCACTGCCATCAAACGTGCGTTTCGCAGGAGGGCTGCACAGCTCTCACCTACACACCACTGTCGTTAAGAGCGCACCTGTTTCCCAGTCCAGGCATTGTACACCAATGGTTGATTGTCAACGAGAGAGCGGAAGTCCCCTTCGTTCTGCGATCACACCCCCCACGTGCATGTCAGTGTGTGTGCAGAACCCTTCAGAGGCACGACAGAAGAATGCGAAGTACAGGCAGAAGGGAGGTCTAGGTGCGGGTGGCACTCGCAAACAGGCCAACACGACACTCAACGACGCAAGCTGTGAGTGAACGCACGACTTGGTCAGTGGCACCAAAGTAAATGTCACCGTTCCCGTTGAGGCCATGTCTATGCAAAGGCGGTGTGTATGTGTGTGTGTGTGTGTGCATGTGCATGTGCGTGCGGGTGTGCGTGTGTGTGTGTGTGTGTGTGTGTGTGTGTGTGCGTGTGTGTGTGTGTGTGTGTGTGTGTGTGTGTGTGTGTGTGTGTGTGTGTGTGTGTGTGTGTGTGTGTGTGTGTGTGTGGGTGTGGGTGTGCGGGTGTGTGTGTGTGTGTGTGTGTGTGTGTGTGCGAGTTTATGTTGGCATGAGATGTCAGCAAACACACGCACACACGCACGCACGCGCGCGCGCACACACACACACACACGCACACACACACACACACACACACACACACACACACACACACACACACACACACACACACACACACACGCACCCACGCACCCACGCACACCACCACACAACGTACTGCTTGACGAGACTGAGGAAGAAGGAGTTTTCTTCGTCGCTCTCTGGCAAGGCAACGAACCCGTCCAGCTCAGCACAGCGCGTAACACCATCGTTCAATGTCATTTTGCCGGCCAAAAGAAGGTACTCATGCGTGTCAAATTTCACCCAGTCTGTCATCGTCGTGGACACAAGGAAATAAGTAGCAGTGCGAGACCGCGTGCACAGATCAAGCAAGCTCCATGAGAACCGGCAAACAACAAAGCCAGGCAAAAACTGCACGTGAACACACTTACACCATGTATCAAGGCAAACACAAACACAAACACAAACACAAACACAAACACAAACACAAGCCAAAACAGAAAGAAGCACCCCAAATGCAAGACTCGAGTACTCCGAGGGGGCGTGTGCTCGAGCGGCACGCATGGACAGGAACTCACCCGTTGCAGCTGCCACACTGGCCAGCAGTGCCGTGACAACGATGACAGCAACCACAGGTGAACTAACAGCGAGCGCAGGGAGCGGCGACATGCTTCTCTGTCGTCGTGGCAGCTCCGCTCGCGTGGCTCGCCGCTGCCATATCCGCTCTGCCATCGTCCTGTTGTCTTCTTGGGCATGTGAAAATGCGCTCCGCAGTTCGATTTCGTAAATCTGCATGGAATCCCGACAGGCGGGCAACCAAACGCCGACTAAACGCCGATTCCTTGAAAATTGCGCGCGCAAGGACAGGTTTGCGTGCGGGGCAGCTGGCAACAACGGTGAACTGGGCGCGGCGAGGTTGATTTGGTTTGGTGCGGGGTGAAAGCGGATGCGATTATGGTGCTCACGCGTTGAGGAACGACACGAGTCGGTACTAGGAACTACGCAATACGTAGCATAATATGATAGAGCAGGGGCGGGAGGTGGCTCCTGCAAACGCGATGAAAGTGACAGAACAACCTTGTTCAAAGATCAATGGGGGAAGCTGAATGGAGGGTAACTAGAGACACCACAGATCTACTGGGATATGTCCGACCATCATCTGAGCCGCTCAGATCCGGATGCGCAGTGTTGAGGAAGAAGAATAGACAAGGGCACCGCCACCGGTGTTGATGCTCGCGCACCCACGCAGCCGCAGCGGGAACGTGTCAAAGTTGTCGACGAGCTGTCGACTGCAGCAGTCGACATTGCCGGTCATGCAGTCGCGAGCGACAAAGTTGTTGCTGCCTGGTGTCTTCTCGATGGCGATCCAGTGCCCATCGGGATACGAGTCCCTGTCATCGTCGCACAACAGCGTGTGCATCTCTGTTGTGTGGAGGTGGGGGCGGGTAAGGGGTTGGAGAGGAGGAAGGAGAGAATGAGGGGCGGTCAGGGCCAGTAAGACGGTGGGTGTAGACAGGCAGGTACGTACACGAGCGAGACACGGTGTCAGCACGGGTGCACAGAACCACGCAGCAACTCACAGACACACACGCTCACACACACACGCTCACATACACACACACACACAAACACAAACACACACACACGCACACACACACACACAAACACACACACACACGTTGAAGTCGATCGTTGTCGTTCTTGGCGCGGCCTGAGAGCGCGCGCAGCGCGACGGGATTATGAGAGTCAACATGGAACATATAGGGAACACCGTGTGCTCACTTTGAAGGGGCCTTGAAGGCCCGCAGTGATCCAGGGAAGAGACAGTGGAATGTAACACCGCACACTCACTCACACACAGACACACACACACACACACACACACACACACACACACACACACACACACGCACACACACACACTAACACACACACACACACTAACACACACACTACACACACACACCGACACACACACGGATACACAAACGACGCACACAGCGTTGATGGCCTTGCACGATTCTGCTGCAAAAGAGGGCGAGGAACCATCGAGTGAGATGTCGCCGGTCTTGGTGTTGCAGACGAGCTCGTACGCTTGACCATCGTACACAAGGATACCAACTCGAGCCAGCAGCAAGAGCAGCAGTCACAGCACCATCAGGGGCAGCCAGCGTACCACAACGTATAGCAGTGGCATGACGTGATGAGTCAGGGCACAATTGAAGCAACAAGCCCAATACGCACCAGCACGCACAAAGGTGCGTACAGCCACACACACACACACACACACCACACAAGCATGTATAAACGTATGTGCAACCACACACACACACACACACACACAAAATGCATACATACACGCAAACAAACATACACTCACGTACACACACACACACGCACACACACACAATATGCATACACACACGCAAACAAACACACACACACACATCACGCACCTCATACTCGGTGCTGCCGACGTCACAGGGTGCAGATATGTTTGCACACACACGATCATGAAACCGGGTCGGCGGTTGCTGTTCAAACTGAGACGGTGTACACGGCGTCAAAGCAGCGCACACGCGATCAGTGCTGCTGGTGCCGTCGCCCAGGATATATTGCTCGGTCAGCACGGCACACGTGCGCCAGTTGACACACGACCCTGCACCATCTGCGGTGACGTTGCTGAACGTGCCATGTCCACACGCGACACAAACGCGGTCGGTTGTCGGCGATGGCGGCTGCTCCTCGACAAAGCCCGGGCGGCACAGTGTTGTGTTGAGGCACATGGTCTGGCCACCAAGCGGCTGGTAGTGTGAGGGCGGCGCACACGGCTGGCAGCTCTGGGATCCCGCCGTGCCCGGGGCACACTGCAGCTCCTCGCAGGACCCCGTGTTGGCGGTGGTGTTGGTGATGGCAAACGGGCACGCCATGCAGGCGGTGGTGCCATCTCGGTCGTGGTCGGTGGTTCCCTGTGGGCAAGGGATGCATTCCCGCGAGGAGGTTGGTGTCTCTGGGACTGACTCAAAGTAGCCGGGAAGGCAGCCACATTGAGCGTCAGATGTGGGGGTGCAAGGCGTCACAACGTGCTCGTGCGGACCAGCGCATGTCGTTGTGCATGCCTGGCACACACGGTCCGTGGTGAGGCCGCATGCACGCAGCTCAAACTCAAGCCCATCCACGCACCGCGTGCACGCAGTGCAGGTGGCCGCTGATGTTTTCATGCACGGTTCCGCGACAAACTGCTCGGCATCCGCGCAGGCGTCACAGCAGAGGGTGTCGGACGTTGACGTGCATGGCGCCGCCTCAAACCGAGACTGTGCCTCGCATGAGGTGCAGGGCTCACACGCGACGCTCGACGAGCCACAAGCGTCCACATATGCTCCGGGCTCACACGCGGTTGCGCAGTTCACGCACACGGTGTCCTGTTCTGGCATGCAAGGGGACGCTTTAAAGTGGAAGTGGTCGCACACGGTGCATGGCCCACACACGAATCCGCTCGGGCTTGTGCCGCTTGTGTCCACCGTCTTGGTCAGGCCATCCCTGCACTCGCAGCCGGCCGGAAAGCCCTCCACAAACGCCTCGTCCACGCACAGGCAAGCGTGGTCCGTGTGGGGACAGCCCGTTTCGCCGGGCACCTCGTACGACACGTCATTGCACGGGTTGTCTGTGCAGTAGAAGTTGGGCTTAAAGTCCTGAGCCGCGCACTGGTGGCGGCTGCCCGCCATCACTGCCACCATCAGCACCACTGTCATGGCCACCATGGTACCAGCGCAACGCGAGGGCAAGCGCAAGTGCGCGCGTGGGTGCGCGCGCGGGTGTGGGTGCATTTCAGCTGTTGGTGCTGCCGGTGCTGCTGCTGCTGCTGGTGCTGTTGGTGCTGCTGCCCGGCACTCACCCGCCATGTGACGTGTGCGTGTGCATCAGATCAGAGAAGCCAGGGTAAAGGGGGAAAATGCACGCCGAGGTTTGTGGTCGATGAGGCAAACAGTGCTTGTGTCACTGTCAGTTGATAGACCAGTCAACGCAAGCAGACCTCGAAGAACGGAAGCAGCTGCAGCGGTGAGGAGAGGGGATGATGATGCGACCATGACGGCGGTTGCCGTCACAGTGAAGTCATTGTGTGGTGGCTGTTGTTGAGCTCGCGTTGCTTGTTGTTGTCCTTTGTTGTCCTTGTTCGTTTGCTTGTGGTTGCGCGCGGAAAATTGGTTAAAACTTTCAACGACTTTTCTACAATCACAACAAACAAGCGAAGAAGACAGCGCTCCGCACTCGCTGTCCTGCATCCACCTGCATCCAGCAAAGCAGCAAGAAGCCATCCCTCCATCCATCCGCTCCCCTGTTTCACTTGTTGTCAGTCCTCGCGATGCGGGCAGAGTGGGCACTGGTTGCTGAACACCTGCTGTTGCTGGCAGATGGGAGAGATCGCCCGCATGCATCGTCCTCATCCGGTTCCTGTGCATTTGCTGCGACGCTGACGAAGAGGATGTTGCTGCGGTTGTGCAGGGTGATGTTCACGACCAACGTCACCAAGACCAGCGCGTGCGCACGTTCATCGCGTTGATGTTCACGTGCCGTGAGTTGTATCACGACTTGCCATGGGCCATGCCCAGGTGGTGTCTTGCTGCTTTGCTCAATCACCCACGCCAATCCGTGTGGGCCAGCAAAACCTTTGTGGACAGCTTCCAGCGCCGCCTGCTGTCTTCCCTTCAAGGCACAAGAGCGGCACAAAAGGCGCGAGCTGGGCAGCGCCGTCTTCCTGCCGCTGCCGACACACGCATGGACGACGATTGAGCTGTTTGGCTTGAGAACCGCTTTCTCGCTTTCAGCTGGCTCGGTGTCACGTGGGACGCGACCTGCCCGTTCCTTCGCGCACAGGTGCGATCCGTTGCAGCGGCTCCCAACAGCAACAACTTCTGGCGCAAGTTTCAGCACTGCGGTCGCGTCTTCTTCTGCGGCTTGGACAAGCTGGAGGCGTGGGCTGCAGACACACGGCAGGCTGCGCATGCCACAACCCAGAAACCTCGCGAGGAACGTGGCGCAGCAGACAGAACGCACAGAGAAAGCGGGGACAAGAGAAACGCACCCATGATGCAGACTCAGGAGCCGTGTGCGCAGCAGCAGACACATGAACTTGAGACACCAAGCCACGAGAACCAACACAAAGACCTCGGCACTGCGCACAGTATGCCCACACCCACACCGGCAGTCTTCTCATTGTACGCATCCCTGAACAGCCAAGCAGATGCTGAGCGTTTTCAAGGCCTACGCACGACCGTGTTGGCGAACGCGCGCGCAGAACACGTCTTCATTCAGGCACAGGCACCCCTGGCCTCCCTGACGGTGAGCAATGCAGACAACGTTCACATCAACGCGTGTTCGGCGTTGATTGACAGCTTGGCGATCCGTGACGTGACAAGCGTCGTCTGGCTGCCAGCAACAACACAACGCAGCACCGCATGTCAGCTCAGCAACGTCCAGCATGTTGACTTGCGCACCAAGGGCACGCTCACGGAAGATCTGCGCGCATTTGCAGGAATCCCGAGCGTTGGCCTAGCAACAGCCAGCGATGACACCGGCGTGGACCTTGCGCCGCTCCATGGTGTGAAGCAGCTGAGGCTGCCCACCGAAGGCACGGAAGCAGTACGGGGACACTCGGTGTGTCAAACAGCAGAAACGCTCGTGCTGTCGCACACGAGCATCACCCCGACAGACACGCTGCCGGTGGCGACCGTTGTCAACCTCTCCCACATGAGAGCTGTACCGGAGCTGCTGCATCTGCCCAACGCCATCGACATTGCCCTGGGGTATGGGTCCAAGGTGCGGCAGTTCACATGTGCGCCACGCATCGAGAGACTCGTGATCCGTGACGCCACTGGCACGCCACCATGCATTCCAAAGTTTGAGCACGCCTATGTCGTGTGCCTTGCGCTGCCGCATCTGCACCTGACGAGCGAGCAGCTGGTTGACCTCAGCAACCGCGTGGACAAGCTGGTACTTCGACGGTTGCTGCGCGTTCCGGATGATGCAGACTCGCCGCATACAAGCGCAGGCGTCGTGCGTGGCATCCCCGACCATGCGCACGTGTGCCTGGACTGTTTCGAGATTGACGGCCCGGTCCCACCGTGCGTTAAAGAGCTCAAAGCGCTGGTGGAAGGCAGCGCTGTGCAAGGCAGTTTCGTCAGCCACGTCCCGCGCCTGAGTCTCATCAAAGACCAACGCGGGCACGCTCGCATCAACGACGTGCACTTGCTCTCTGGACGCAAGGTGCTGCAGTTGACGCAGGTCTTGCTTGAAGGGGAGCTCGCGTCTTGCGAGCAGCTGAGTCTGTGCAGGTGCCGGGGGCGCCTGGGCTTGACATCCATCAAGTCCCTCGACCTGAATGGCGCAGTGGTGACTACAGGGGATGGCAGCGGCGACGGAGACACCAACATTGATTCTGGCGATGGCAGTGACGACAGTGACAACAGGGCACTTGCGGAGACGAAGCTGGTAATCACGCGCGTGCACCATGTGACCCTCTGCCGTCTCGAGGAGTGCGTCATCTACGACTTTGGGTGCTTTCAGGACGTGCAGCACCTCACGCTGAAGGAATGCAAGTTGAAGGACCTGGCCAGCTTTCCGCCCGTGCATGTCCTCGTTTTGCGCAACTGTGAGACCATGGACGAGGACGGGTGGTGCCCAGATGCAGTCTTCGTGGACCGCTCGCCAAAGAAGATGGAGCAACTCTTGCTTGCCGAGCGAAGAAGGTGGTGATTTGTGTGTGTGTGTGTGTGTGTGTGTGTGTGTGTGTGTGTGTGTGTGTGTGTGTGTGTGTGTGTGTGTGTGTGTGTGCTTGTGTGTGTGTGAGTGTGTGTGTCGGTGTGTGTGTGTGTGTGTGGTGTAGTGTAGCCTTCAGCCAGAACGTACGAAGCACGGCAGCCCAGAACAGACACGATTGTGCTCGAAAACGCCACCACAACCACAAACGTGCGCGATCTCGCCACATTCACGTGCAGGGATTTCAACGCGACCCTTTTGTAGGCGCCCGTGACCCGTTGCTGTTGTTCTTCTCCTTGTTGGTGGCCTTATTCTTTTCCTCCCGCTTATCCACATTCGCCCCGTGTCGGTGCGCGGGGTCCGGCCTTGCTCCTCCGGGGCACGGCTCCGCCAGCACCTTCTCCTCCTCCTCCTGCTCCACCAGCACCTTCTTCTTCTCCACCTCCTTCTTCTCCTGCTCCTCCTCCTTCTTTGCCTTTTCTCCCATTCCCTATTCCTTCCCCGTCTGCCGTACTCTTCTCGTCTGTTGTATCTGCCTGTTGCTTGCCCCCTGGGCGCCCTCTCCTTCTCCTTCTTCCTCCTTGGCCTGTTACCCCCTCCCCTCTTGGTTCTCCCTGCCGCGCCTTCAGCAGAGCCATGGGCGCCAGGTCAATAAACGGGAACGTCCTGAGAAACGCCTCCCATGTGCACGGCTGTACTGGCCATCTTGCACACCCACCACAGCTGGTTGCTCGGCGACCCATCGACTTTGTATGCGTACACCGCCAATGCCCTGCCAACGTGCGGCGGTTATGCCACGGCTCGGGCTGTGCCAGCAGTCTGCTGGTTGGTTGTTGTTTTGCTTGTTGTGAGTTGGTGTTTGGTGGCCTTTTTCCTCGAACCACCTCGACCACAACAAGCAAGAAGCAACCAAGAAGCACAAGCGAAACAAGCCAAGACTGGTTGGCTAGACACCACGCACATCCATCGGCTTTGTTGTCCTTTGCTTATCAGGACAGCGCTGCCTCTCCCTCTGGCTCAAGTCCTCAGCTTTCCTCTCAGTCCTCCAGTCCACGCCACCCTTGTGTGACCACGGTGTGCGTAAGCGTACTCGCCGCCTCAGGCTGACGGTTTCTTTGCTTCTTCTGCCAACTGCTTGAGTTGCTGTGCAGGTGTGTGTGAGCTTTTGGTTCAAAACGCACAAGACACCTTCTTGGGCCCGGAAGCGCGTTCGTTGTTGCTACCACCAGCTTCTCGCACTCACTCTCAGCTGCTCTTTTGTGGTTAGCGAAGAGCTGAGCGACCAGCCTTGCGTGCTCCACCAGCATCCCCCCCCCCCAAAAAAAAAAAAGCTGGTGGGCACTCTCTCCTCTGTCTGTCTGTTTCGTCTCCTTTGTTGTTCCCACCAACCAAACAAAAAAAAAAAAAGCGAAAGCCACGCCCCCCTCCTCCAGTTTTGCTTTTCCTTCTCTCTCCCTCTCTTGTGCGCACTGCAACCACAACAACCAACCAACCGGTCCTTGCCACTCTTCTCTTTCTCCCCTTCCCCTCCAACCAAAGTAAACCAACACAACCAACCCCACTCCCCCGCCCTCTTTCCCTGTTTGTCTCTCTCGTTTTTTGTTCTTGTCAACTCGACCATCTCCTCAATCATCTCCTCTTCCTGGCACCTCGCCCGCGGCACCAAGAAGCCACCAAGCCCACCGTCCGCGCCACACGGATTGCCCACTGAGCGATTGACCTCCAACCAAACCCCACAACCCTACGCCGCTCCTCAGGCTCCACACACACAGCCATGGCTGACCAGCGACTGACGCACGGCGTGTCCGTGGCAGCTGTGCGGCGGTTCCTGGATGACCTGAAGCGCGAGTTCCCCGACACGTACACTGAGATGACGACGGAGGATGCTTGCAAGCAACTGGTTGTGCCACGCACCCGCCAGGACAACTGCGCCTACGTCGAGCACCTGCGCAAGCAGTCGCCAGAACACGTGAACAAGGCCACCGTGTTTGTGTCGCACGCATGGCGGTACAAGATCGCAGACGTGCTCAACGTCTTGCTGGAGTTTGCAGAGGAGCAAGCAAGGAAGGGCGACGCCCAGCCAGTGTTTTTCTGGTTTGACCTCTTCATGAACAACCAAAACGCCAACGTCACGGCCAACCTTCCACCAGAGTGGTGCGTTTTGTGTGTGTGTGTGTGTGTGTGTGTGTGTGTGTGTGTGTGTGTGTGTGTGTGTGTGTGTGTGTGTGTGTGTGTGTGTGTGTGTGTGATACTTGCGCTCTTCAGCAACCATTGCCACCCACGCACACAGACACACGCACACTGTGTTCAAATTGTGTGGATACTTGTGTATTGATGTAGACTCAACGCATAAGAAAAGCTGTAGGATAAATGACAACACGTAGACAGTACATGTTCTTGTTATGTCGTTGGTGTTGCTGATGACGTATGCAGTTGTAACTGATGACGCATGCTGTTGTAACGGATGACGCATGCTGTTGTTGCGGACTGTAGTGGAGGACTGCTTATTGCTGACGTACATTCCAACACTCCCCCGCAGCCAATACGCTGTCCTGCATCAAGACTCATCTGGATATGGAATGCATGGTGGTGATATGAGAGGGAAACCGTGAGAGTCTGTTTGTGATTGATTCTCTCTGTTTGTGATTGATTCTCAGAGTGAACACATGTTCTTCCAGTCAGAACATGGAAGGATTGCGAGTGATGTTGTCAGAGGAGTTATCTCGTGTCACCGTCAAGGTGCTCAGAGGAGTTTACTCATGACATGTTATTAAGCTATCTCTTAACGCTCAGAGGAGTTTCTCTTGTTGTGTTACAGAGGAGTTGTCTCGTGTCGTTAGAGTGATGCAGTCAGAGGAGTTGTCTCGTGTCACCGTCAAGGTGCTCAGAGGAGTTTACTCATGACATGTTATTAAGCTATCTCTTAACGCTCAGAGGAGTTTCTCTTGTTGTGTTACAGAGGAGTTGTCTCGTGTCGTTAGAGTGATGCAGTCAGAGGAGTTGTCTCGTGTCACCGCTAAGGTGCTCAGAGGAGTTTACTCGTGGCATGCTCTGAATCTGTCTCTTAACGCTCAGAGGAGTTTCTCTTGCCTTGCAGAGGAGTTGTCTCGTGTCGTCAGAGGGAGTCGCGTGCTCTGCTCCGTGGAGCTGGCTTGTGTCACTTGTTGTGAACTCTCAACATTGAGTAGTGTCGAGATGTGGTGAATCATGGTCTGCTTGTCTAGCAGCTTGGTGAATAGATCAGCAGGGTTGTCTTTGGTGCTGATGTATTTGAGCGTGGCGATATTGTCAGCAATACACTCTCGTGTGAGGTGATATCGCAATCTGATGTGGCGCATCTTTGAGGTTGCCATGTTTCCAACCGCAATAGCGGGTTGGTTGTCTGTGTGCACCGTTGTGGCATGAGGCAGTGGTGCATCAAGCAGTTCTTCTTGCAATTGTCGAAGGTAGATGACTTCTTGCATGCCTTCTCCAACAGCAACATACTCTGCCTCGGCCGTTGCAGTTGTAACGTGTCGTTGAAGTCGTGAGCACCAAGAGATAGGGCCTCCGGCAAGATTGACAACATACCCAGTTCTTGACCTGCCCGTGGCAGGGTCTGATGCGAATGATGCATCGGTATAGGCCACTAAGTCGTTGTGACGATGCTTGGCTTCGAAGCACAGTGTGTAATGAATGGTGCCCTTCAGATAGCGTAGCACTCGTTTGGCTGTTGAGAAATCCGTTGCGGTGTACGTACTCATTCTTCGTGTCAGCATTGAACAAGCCACTGCAATGTCGGGTCTTGTGGTTGTTGACAGGTGCAGAAGGCTGCCCACAAGACTACGATATGGTAGATCTGGCGGCTCTTCATTCTCATTAGCTTCCAAGGAGTCTTTGAAGCCCATCGGCAGTGGTGTTTGTGCAGTCTTGCAGTCCTGCATGTGAAACTTGTCCAGGAGCGTGTTAATGTAATGCTTCTGACTCATGGTCATACGGCAGTTGTTTCTGTCGTAGTTCACGCTGACTCCTAAGCAATGTTTCGGCACCCCAAAGCTCTTGACTTTGAAAACTGTTGCGATGTTCCTTTCGAAAGCGTGCAACCGTTCTTCCTTGTTCGCAGCAACGACAATGTCGTCTACGTAGATCGCCACCCACACTTTGTCGTCTTGATCATGTGTACTCGTTTGTAGATACACTGTTCAGACTTGGCCTGTGTAAACCCACTGTCTTTCAACCAGCGATCCAGTTTCGTGTTCCATAGCCTCGGTGCTTGTTTGAGCCCATATAGTGCCTTTCTGAGGTGCAGCACTTCATCTCTGTTGAACAGACCCATAATGTGTGGAGGCTTGACGTAAACGTGGTCCATGTCGATTTCCGCATAGAGAAACGCCGTCACAATATCCAGCTGCAGCATGTACATGCCTTCGACTGCACTCATTGCAAGCATGGTGCGAAGAGCAGTCTTGCTCGTTGTTGGAGCGAACGTTTCTTGGTAATCGATTCCATGTTTCTGCGAATACCCTTTCGCAACCAGCCGTGCCTTGTACCTTTGCACAGTTCCGTTTTGGTCGCGCTTTCGCTTGAGCACAAATTTGCTTGGTAGGAGTTTGGCACCCTTTGGTATCTGATCTGCGCGCACAACTTCATACACATGGTTGGCTTCAAGTGCTGATGCTTCCTCAGTAATGGCTGCGAGCCATTGTTCCTTTTCATCGGATTGCAGCGCAGTGTCAACATCTGGTGCATCTCCGTCATGAGGTGTCTGTGCTGAGGATGTATTGGTGGCATTCTCCCCCGCAGCCGATGCACAGATGCGTGACTGCTTGTCGCTTGCCGCATGAAGTGCGTTCTCTTCACTCACAGTTGGTGTGAGCTCAGTATATCGGCGCGTTTCACGCGCCGCCTCAAGGGACTGTGTGATATCATTGGTCTGCACCTCATTGAACTTGACATGAATTGTGTTGACCATCTGTTTGGTTTGAGGTACCCACACTTGGTGTGATTGGCTCTCATGGTCAAATCCGACATATATGCCGGTACGTGCACGTTTCCCAAGCTTATGACGGGAAGCTTTGGGGACATGTACATACGCCTTTGCACCAAATACTTTGAGTTGGTTGACGTCGAAGGGACGCCCGCAGAGGATCGTGAACGGTGCCTCTCCTCCAAGAGCTTGCGTTGGCGACACGTTGTGGATTGTTGTTGCATGCTTAAACGCCATGCCCCAGTATTCATCGCTCATGCCTGCGGCTGTTAACATTGCCCTTGTCGTGTCGAGTAAAGTTCTGAACCTCCGTTCAGCGACGCCGTTTTTTGGCTTGGGCATAAGGCGGTGAGAACCTTTGTGCGACATTCAAGTCTGCACATAGGTCTCTAAAACCAGCACTGCGAAACACAGCATCCGAGTCAGTTTGAAGCGTGGAGCCATTAAGGCCACCGTGCACAAACATGTTGCGTCTGAGGTGTTCAAGCGCGGTGGGGACTTGATCCTTCCTGCCCATGAGGAAGCTCCACGCAAACCTCGTGGCATCATCCGTAAACGTAATGGCATATACATATCCACGCACAGACCGTGGGAATGGGCCCACAATGTCTGCATAGAAAAGCTTGAGCGGCAGTGCAGTGCGTGGCTTAGCTTGTTTAGGTATGCTCGCTCTTGTGCTCTTTGCGATGCCGCATGCATGACACGGTACTTGGTTGCGTGCACGGCTTGCGATACTGTCAAGCACCGCACGGTGCCCCATACACTCGTGATGATACCCTGAGTCCGCGGCGTCACTGTCAATTGGCGCCGTAATCGCTACCAGGGAGACCTCATGTGCACCGGTTGCGTGAATGAGTAAGCGGCCAGCCTCATCTGTGTGCAACGGCAGTGTCCACGTTGGGAACTGAATGTAATTGTTGTGTTGTTGCAGATTTGTGCGTGCATGTGGATTCCGTGTCATTGCTGCGTGCACACCAAACAGGTTGTATGCGATGTCTGGAACGTGCAAGACGCCTTCAAGTCGAAGGGTGGCCACTGTTCCTTCAGATGTTGTGGTGTGAAGGATCGCTGTGCCCATTCCGTGCACTCGTGCACGTCTTTTATCTGCAATCACAACGTAGCGGTCCTTGTGGACTGGTTCATAGTTGTGAAGGAAGTGTTTCCATGGAGTCACGTGCGCTGTAGCGCCAGTGTCCACCACCCAGTGCTGCTTCAAGCAGTCAGCAGTATTGCTCACGGTGGTAACTGCAAGTACCTCTTCGACAGAGAATGCACTTGTGTTTGAACTGCGCTTGCTCAAATGGCCTTGTGGGAAACGTCCTTTGCCAGAGCGTTTGCGCAGTACTTGAAGCACGTGATTTGTGTCAATGAGATTTGCCTGCTTGGCATCTCGGAGTCTGAAGCAGATTTGTGCACAGTGACCTGAAACCCCACAGAATGCACAAGTAACTCTGTTGCGTGGCGGACAACATGCTTTCCGAGATGCAGTCGTGCGTCTTGCAGTTGATGCTGTGTGCTCCACAACGGCAAGCACGCTATCGGTCTGCTTCTGTTCTGAGGTGTTTATCCTCGTTTCTTCTTGCAGAAGTAGTGCCGTCAACTTGGCAATTGATGTGGGACGCTGCAGTTCAATGAAGCGAAACCCAAGTTGAAATTGTGATGGTAGGCTGTTGCGCACAATAGCCATCAGATCGTCGTGGGGCGTTTGCACGTTGTTGAGTCTCAGCTCTGAGTCGATGGAAGAGAGCTTGTTCATGAACGTGTCCACTGTGTCCGTTGTGGTCCACGACAACGTTCGTAATTGTGCCTGCAGTCGATGAACATAGTCCACTCCCGACTGCGTGTAGCGCTCTTTGAGTCTCTGGTAAGCAATCTTTCCAGACTTCCTTGGATTGTTGGAGATGATCAGTGACAGCGGGTGTCCACAGACACACTTTGTGAAAAATACAAAGAGTGCATTGTCCAGTGGGCCTGTTATTGTCGAGGGCACTGACGCTGACGATGGCCCTGAGGCTGACGATGGCCCTGAGGCTGACGATGGCCCTGAGGTCGTGCGATCTTGATCACCTCTTCCTCTCGTGTTGCCTCGTCGTGCCCTTCTGGCTGTGGATCGTGATGTCACTGCTGACCCGACCACACGAGGTGTGAGGTCTTCGTCTGCATCATCATCTTCTTCTTCGTCATCCTGTCTGTTGCTTGTTGTTGTGTGAGCCGGACGTCTTTGTTGTTCCGTTCGGGACGAGAAAGGATGAGAAGTCGCAATATCTTGGTCTGAATTGAGCGCACTCATGTCCACGCCCACCGCAGACAGCTTTGCTTCGACTGTGGAAAAGAACAGCTGAACTTGTGCGTCATCACCGGAGAACTTGGTTTCCCCATCAGAGGAGAGGCTCATGACCTGTTGAACCAGAGACATGGTGGAGGTGTTTGTGTGAGTAAGTGTGGTGTGAGAGTGACTGGGTCTCATAATCTGTTCAGATTGTGTGGATACTTGTGTATTGATGTAGACTCAACGTATAAGAAAAGCTGTAGGATAAATGACAACACGTAGACAGTACATGTTCTTGTTATGTCGTTGGTGTTGCTGATGACGTATGCAGTTGTAACTGATGACGCATGCTGTTGTAACGGATGACGCATGCTGTTGTTGCGGACTGTAGTGGAGGACTGCTTATTGCTGACGTACATTCCAACACACTGTTCCCTCACAAGAACTGCAACCCCTTCCCCTTTCCTCCCTGTCTTCCTCTTCCCTCGATCCTTTCCTCTCCCCCTTTCCCTTTCTCAACACCCAGGTGGAGCACGACGTTCAAGCAGTCGATTGCCAACATTGGCCATGTGCTGCTGGTGCTCATGCCGTGGCGAGACCCCGTGCCACTGACGCGCGCGTGGTGTTTGTGGGAGATCTTCTGTGGCATCAGCAACGAGGGCACAGAGGTCACCATCCAACTACCCAACAGCGAAGAGCAGGCGCTCGAAAACGCCATTCGCAGCAGCTACAAAGCCGTGACAGACACGCTGGTGCGCGTGCAGGCAGAGCGAGCCGACGCCTTCAACCCACACGACAAACACATGATCTTCACAGCGATCGAGTCGTGGGCGGGCGGCTTCAGCGCAGTCAACCAGGCCGTGAAAGACCAGCTGCGCGCGTGGTGCCTGCAAAAGGCGGTGGGTGCCGTCGAAGCCATGCGGGCACGAGGCGAGGACAGCACAGTCGCCTTCGCGGGGCTGTGTGGCCACGTTGGGCTGGTGCTGTACCAGTTTGGCGAGCACGACAAGGCCATTGCGTTCTACGAGACAGCACTGCCGATTTATCTCCGCACCGAAGGGGAGAAAGGGAGGAACGTGGCGGCACCGTACGGCAACCTCGGCAACGCCTACTGCAGCAAGGGCGAGCATGACAAGGCCATTGCTTACCATGAGAAGGCCCTCGCCATCAGGGTGGAGACGCTGGGCGAGAAGCACCCGAGCACAGCCGACACCTACGACAACCTCGGCACTGTCTACGCCAGCAAGGGCGAGTACGACAAGGCGATTGCGTTTTATGAGAAGGCCCTCGCCATCAGGGTGGAGGCGTGGGGCGAGAAGCACCCGAGCACAGCCGACACCTACAACAACCTCAGCGCCGCCTACAGGAACAAGGGCGAGTACGACAAGGCGATTGAGTTTTATGAGAAGGCCCTCGCCGTCTTCGTGGAGACGCTGGGCGAGAAGCACCTGAGCACAGCGACCACGTACAACAACCTCGGCAACACATACGACAGCAAGGGCGAGTACGACAAGGCGATTGCGTTGTATGAGAAGGCGCTCGCCGTCTACGTGGAGACGCTGGGTGAGAAGCACCCGAGCACAGCAGCCACGTACAACAACCTCGGCATCGCCTACTTCAGCAAGGGCGAGTACGACAAGGCGATTGCGTACTACGAGAAGGCCCTCGCCATCAGGGTGGAGACGCTGGGCGAGACACACCCGAGCACAGCGAGCACCTACAACAACCTCGGCAACACCTACGACAGAAAGGGCGAGTACGACAAGGCGATTGCGTTTTATGAGAAGGCGCTCGCCATCTACGTGGAGACGTTGGGCGAGAAGCACCCGAGCACGGCAATGACGTACAACAACCTCGGCAGCGCCTACAACAACAAGGGCGAGTACGACAAGGCGATTGCGTTTTACGAGAAGGCCCTCGCTGCCTTCGTGGAGACTCTTGGCGAGAAGCACCCGAGCACGGCCATGTCGTACTTCAACATTGGCCTGCTGCACGACAAGCGCGGTGACAAGGAGCAGGCCTGCGCCTACATGCAGCGGGCCCTCGACGGTTACACAAGCACGGTCGGCCCAGACCACCCAGACACGCGCGACGCGGAGCGCGAACTGCGGCGCATTCGCGGCAACGACGAGCCCGTTGACGGCGGTGCACGCACTGGCGGCGCCCTGGGCGAGGAAGAGAACGAGCAGAAGCAGCAAGAAGGAAGCGGCGGTGACGACAACATGACCAGCCAGGACTGGGCTGTGCTTGTGCTTTGTTGTCCATGTCTTGTTGCTGCTTTGCCTTTCCTCTGCATCTACTCCTGCGTGAAGAGCGTGTGTCAGAAGTGAGGGTTTGCGTGTGTTGTCGTTCTTTCCTTCACATACATGCTTTCCCCTTGCTTTTACTTGTTTGACATTGCTTGTTTCACACTTTAGTCAACTCTTCATGCAATCCAACCGGCTGATAAGCAACGAGCATACAACCTTCC